ACAGTACAGCAGAGAGACATCCACTTACCCACCTTTTTTATTTTATTTATTACCTATTATTTTTTTTATTTTTTTGTCTGTCATCACCTTTTAGAACAGTAAAAGTGCTTGGATTTTCTTCAACAGTATCTTTTCTGATAGGAAGAGGTTTAGCTATATTGTCAGTTCACCAAAGTATCCCAATAAATATTAAAGAAATAATCAATACATTTTCCAGAAGGTTGACTTTGTTTAATGATTTAAAATTGTATTTAACCATTTTTTTTATCTATATCTCTACTAATGTTATAAAAATGAAAGATTAATTGTATGTTCGTAACGAATAAACTCAAAAACTTGATCGATTTCAAATATTCTTCCACCGTTAGAATGAATGCTACATTATCCCTGAGTAACATAGATTTTGAGATTTACGATGGAAATTGTTGTTTATAAACGGTTTCTATTGGTTATAGAAGAAATAATAATTAGTAGAAATTAGTATTTTATTTGTATGTTGGTTGCCATTGGTTAATCGTATAGATCAAGCATGCATACGATAGAATTTTCGCACAATTCCTACTTGATATGGTGTCGCACAATGTCTGCGATCCGACGGATTGCCTACCGGAGTGGTTGAGTTGCACTTACACCCAAGAGGAGTTGAACAATCACAATATTTTTATGAGTTGACATTTTTACGGGCAACAAAGGCTGCATGATTATAATAAATTAGAAGAAATATGTTATGTAAATTTTGTACAAATATATTTATTAAAAATACAAATCTTTAGGCTGGGTAACCTCTGGCAGGACAGCTAGTTATTTATAGTTTGTATATGCAGTGCCGGCGCTAGGTATTGCGGGGCCCTGGTCATAGGTAATAGCCTTTAGGTTCTCAGAGAGTAGTGAAATTTTAGCTTTTTTTTAAATCAGGATTTTAAAAAAAGTACTGTTTTTATATATAATATAGGTAAATAATTAAATTTAAATAATGCTCTGTCAATTCTTAATGAATCAAGATATTTTAATGAAACAAAAATCAAATTAAAGCTTATTTTTATCTTTGTTATTCACTTGCCCCATATATAATTTTATGTAATACTAATAGCAAAAACAATCCGATTTTGCACTTGCCCCAAGAAAAGGGGCAAGTGTGACGTTTTAAAATTTAAAAAAATTATTCTTAGGTGAGTGATAATATAACTTTGTTGACTATAAATTCCAATTATGTAAGTATATCTAGAGGTGTTACATTATGGAACAATAACAACTTTAAGTTAAAAACAAAAAAAGTATTGTCAAATTCAAAATTAACTTTTCATTTTTGCGTCACACTTACCCCACTTTACCTTACCTACTTGAGTAAACGGAGACAACACATTCGAGTGCGATTCCTCCTGATGAAACCTCGCTCAGCACAGAATTATTGGCGTAGCGTGAGTTTCAGTTAAACCTTTGAGTGGAAAATCGTAGGCTAATAAATTCATAAGGGCTGGTTATTTTATTAATTTACATTTATTTTAACAACTACATAAAATCATCAATTAAAAATAAATTAATTCATCAAAATGTTTGAATAAAATAATAAATTGTTTAATATCTAAGTACGCGACCGCTGCAGCCAGAATAATGCTATATACGACGGTAGACCACGGTATTCGTACCAAGATGATAATTAAAAATCACGGGGCCCTTTAACAAGCGCGGGGCCCTGGACAAATGTCCCATTTGTCCTCCCCTAGCGCCGGCACTGTGTATATGTATACATTATCATATTATATTTTGTTCTGTATACTAATATAATGACGTAGGTACCTATTTTGAGTTCATGTATTAAAATTAAAATAAATAAATTTAGTAAAAAGCTTCAAGTACATGACTTTTTTTTGTTTAGAGGGCTCCACGCCGCCACCACATACTCTGCACACACATATGGCTCCGTCTATGCCAAATATGTATATTTTTATGGCACCAGGCCTTGGCTCACCTTAAAAAGTCTTGGATCCCACGTGACCCATCCCAATTATTGAAAATTATCTCATGGTTTATAAGAATATAAAAATATTGAGTCGTAATGTATGACATAAACAACGTTTTGAATGGTTCAAACTATGCACTATGCATTCAAGCCCCACGGTAACGTGTGTTTACCAGGATCTGAATAAAAAAATAATAAGTAATTAATAAATACCTACTTTAAAAAAAGAATGCTCATTGCTTGAGTTGTATGTTTGAATTGGTATTACAACATATAATATTTATTGTCAGTTTACAATATTTTTAGTTGTGTTTTATAATAGTTGTACTGAATTATACTATTATACAGCTGATGCCTGTTGTTATTCTTAGTATTGGGTGTAATTTTGGGTTAAGACTTAGGGAGGAGGCATTTCCACTCAGTTTCGTGTGCAGGATTTCTTCATTGAGGGAGTTACAAAAAAAGAAATGTATAAAATGGATACGCCATTAATATTATTAAATAGTTTTTTAGTATCAATATTTTTTAATTGCAACGAGGAAAACAAGCGAAGAATGTTGTACCAATTAAAGTTTGAAGATATTTTAAATGTGTATAATTGTCTATTGTAGGTAAATGTACATACAGGTATTCATATAGGTATTAATGTATTAGAAAAATAAAAATAATTTTAAATTCACTTGACTTGTATATTACTTAACTGCATGTCAACACGCTGCACCTACAGAACACTATAAGTTCTCACCATTCTACCTAATATTTATTTAAATCTAAGCCCAATTCATCATGTTTTTTTATTCTAATCTTTCTACATTTCAATCCATAAATTAATTCTTGTATTAATTGATACTACCATATTAATTACTGTTTAATACTTTTTGAAGTTATACTTCTTTACGCACGGTAGTGAGGAAAAAAAAAGCGAACGGGCGGCGCTACGAACGGGCGGCGCGTACGAACGGGCGGCCGTACGAACGCGAAAGCGTACATGTCCGTAAATAAATAAATATTGTCATGGTAATGTTGTTTTATTATATATTATAATATATATATATACATATATATATGTATCTGTATATATAAAACAGTAAGCTGATTGACTGCTATCAACGCACAGCTCAAACCATTGGACGGATCTGGCTGAAATTTGGCATACAGTTAGCTATTATGATGTAGACGTGCGCTAAGAAAGGATTTTCGAAATTCGCATTTTAAATAGGTGCTCAAACAGGGACATTGAGATTCAAGATGGAAATTGGAAATTTTATTTTTATTTATTAATAGTTGCCATTGGTTACAGTCTACATTAGAAATTAGCATTTATTTATTGGTTGCCATTGGTTATTCGGGCAGATCAGGTACAAGCTTGCATCAAATCAAATTATTGAACATTGCCTACCAGGGTGGCTGAGTTGCACTTACCCCAGCAAGTTACACCCAAAAGGAGTTCAACAATCATAATTTTTTTAAGAGTTGTGATTTTTTACGAGCAACCAAATTTGTTATATTAATCCACCGTATTATATCAAAATAAACTTGGTATAACTTTGATAATTTAGAGTTAAATCATACACTTCCGTACAAACAGCACGGGGTCCGCGATCTACCGCAGGTAGATTGCCTACCTGATAATGTACTGCTGCGATTCAGAATTTTTATTCCGGGCAACGGAAAAGATAAGATAAATTTTGAACACCATACACCGAATATTGAATAACGAATTGAACAAAGTTTGAGTCATAACTCATATTGAGTTGATACATTTAAAGGGCGACGAAGTGCACGGGATCAGCTAGTATTATATATTATAATCAGGCCATACTAATTAATATGAATAATTAATGATCGATTATTATTTATTTTTATTATTATTATTAGTATTCACTCACAAATCTATTGTCTGGATAAAAACAATACTACAAACAATTATCCATCTGTCGAATAAAAATATAAAAAAAATAATAAAACTATCAATAATAAATAATTCCGGATACTTATTCTCATTTTTTTAAATTAATTAATATTTTTTTCTTTCTTTTTCACTCACTCACGTGTACCATTCAAAAGAAGTTTAACTTCCCGCGCGCGTACTGGTAACACACATGGTTTTTTTTTTATACAGGTACTTATAGGTACCTACTCCATTAAATGGATATATAAAACAATAACGTATATGTACCATAGGGCATAGATATGCACGTAATATTCATATCTGTAATCTGTATATTATAAGAGTAAGAACTACAATAGATACAGTAGGTACCTAAAGTCCTAATCCGTTAATCAATAATTCATTTATGTACCTTTGAAATGTAAAAAAGAGCGGGAAGTTAAACTTCTTTTGAATGGTACACGTGAGTGAGTGAAAAAGAAAGAAAAAAATATTAATTAATTTAAAAAATGAGAAGAAGTATCCGGAATTATTTATTATTGATAGTTTTATTATTTTTTTTATATTTTTATTCGACAGATCGATGGATAATTGTTTGTAGTATTGTTTTTATCCAGACCATAGATTTGTGAGTGAATAATAATACTAATAAAAATAAATAATAATCGATCATTAATTATTCATATTAATTTAGTATGGCCCGATTATAATATATAATATATATATATATATATTATAATATATAATAAAACAACATTACCATGACAATATTTATTTATTTACGGACATGTACGCTTTCGCGTTCGTACGGCCGCCCGTTCGCTTTTTTTTTCCTCACTACCCTGCGTAAAGAAGTATAACTTCAAAATTCAAATTTAAATACTATTGTTTATATTTATTTACACAATTTCGTTAAACAAAACCACGTGTCTTGAATGAAATTTCCGTTTCGTCTCCGCTGTTTTCTCTTGCAACGATTATGAATACAACAAATTCTTGTTTGAGTTGCTTTATTTTCAAATCCGTCAGGCTATCGAAACAGACGAACATATATTTTATTTTATTTTTTTTTTAATTTCATTGTTTTTATTACCATTGGAACATCATTATCAGTTATTTTTCAGTTTGTGCGTTTTGGCTTTTACATTATTAAAACATTCTGAATAGTGTCCGGTTTCTGGTGGCGATGTTCTGGTTTCTGGTTGTCGGGTTTCTGGTTTCTGTGGTCGGTTTTCTTGGTTCTGGTGTCGGTTTTATTGGTTCTGGTGTCTGCTTTTCGGCCTGTTTTGGTTGATTAGCCTCTGGCTGTTTATCGTGTTCACGCACTTTACCCACCTGTCCAGTTTGATTCACATCAAACGGCTTTCTCTTAAAGCTGAATTTTTTAGTTTTATGCCTAACGGCATCACAAACGTGATTAGACATATTTATAGAATATACATGTTTGTAAAATAAACCGATATCAAATGAATAATATATTTTTTCAAAAATCAAAATTAACTATTTATTTTAAATATTTCCATAGAGACGAAAAAAATATTATTTTTACTAAAATAGTTTAATAGTTGTCAATATAAAAAATTAATTTACCACAAAGCAAGAACCCAGAGAAGGGGTGCCGAAGTGATTAATGTGGTCCGGGAATTGTCGCATCCTACAAAATACACTCCGACCACTATTATAGTGATGTACTAATGTCGTTTTTATATGTACCAACAGCGTAGATCATTTTATTGGCTTTTATTATTTGATCATAAAATACAGCTAACATAGTTAATACAAACTATTATCATTCATTATTTTATAGTCAGATTTGTAACGATCCAATGAGTGCATTCCGACTAGAATAAGACATAATACAATTATTTATTTTTCAAAACATCCGATTTCAATGATTAGGTACCTACCTATATTGGTATATTACCTAACTGTATTACTGTATTTCCGTGTTAAAACTAATCATTCTTCTACTATATTCCGTTTTGATTCAATTGAAACCACAATTATTATGATGATTTATTTTATGATTTTGATTTTCCATTTCTTAATTCTGGACATATTTTTTTATGAAAACGTAAAAAATTGTAGAAGGATTCAACTATAATGCTTAAAGCCGAAGTAAATCCAATTCCACTAGGATTTCCGATATTCATCAATCGACTTTATGGGCTCACATAAAAAATATGCCTAGAATTAAGAAAACAAATCATAATTTAATAGATATTTGATTTTAAGATTTGTTTTTTAAAAATTAAAAATTATATTTATGAAAATGGTAATATACCATAGTATATATTATATCTAATAATATTATAATAATAGTGATATAATCTGTAACTAATGGTAACAATTTAAATAAACAAAACGATATTAGGTTTTCATGAGCCAAAACTAAATAAATGTGTAAGCCACTTATAGCAAATTATAGGGGTTGAATAAGCTATAAACATCCTTCGAGACATAAGAAATCAAAATTGTTATAACTTTTTTCGAAAACAATGCTGTTTTTAAGTATATATTGAGGACAAAAAAAGACATTTTACGATGTTCTTCACGCTAATCTCCGAAACCAGTTAACCAATTTTAATGACATTTTGTAAATGTATCTTGCTTGATCCAACTTGAGAGATAATATAGTTTTTATCTCGATAAGTAAAAATTAATTCATTATAAATTATTTATTATTTTGTATATCTAAATAGTTGCAATTATTAGTTACATAGGTATAATACATTTATATTAGATAAATACTATTATATTTAGAAGAAATATGGCCTAGGTACATACACATTTTTTTTACAGATATATTTATTTAAGATACAAATATTTGGTCGGACAACGTTGGACAGGACATAATATATAATATTATAATATATGAAGGCAATTTATTTAAAAATGCTTTCAGTGTTTGTGAACATTAATATTGATTTGAACTATTACGTAAGATGTATTACATTATTACAATACAATTATTGTTATTTGTATAAATACTAAATTAGTTGTCAATCTCAATAGATACTTCTATATGGAAAATGCTAATATAAGCGTTTGGTGAAAATTTCAAGTATCTATGGTTATTCGTTTTTGAATTACAACAAAATATCAAAGATTGATTGAGAAGAAATAGTTATTTTAAGGGTGATAAACTAATGTCAACCAAATATTATGAACTCGAAACCGGTAAAGCACGATTGGACATAATATATTATACCTTTTTAGCAACATGATTGAGCATAGAATATTTTTAATGCGATGTTGCCAGCATTTTGTAACTTATTATTTTCATGTATTTTTACAACAAATTATTATGTTATCCGTGAGCCGAGCCCAGCTTTATCTACAATGTTACTGATTAATAAATTAGTTCCGGAGCAATAAAGTTCTACGACGTTTTAAACATTTAGCATTGGGAGAAAATATAAGATAATAAATTAAGATACAATTCCAAAATTATTATAGAAATAATATCAGTGTCCGATTACTTATAGTCCAACAGTCGTGTCACATAAAGTGAGTTTCATATAAGTCATTAGTGCGTATAGTTTCTATCTAATCGATTCAACATAAGCCCATAAAATTACAATCCGCTAAAGAAATTAAAAAATAGAATTTAATATTCAAGCTTTCAACCATAGGCATAATTTCAAGGGTGCAAAACTATCATTTTGCTCACCTAAATTGTCTATATTTATAATGTATAATTTTGCCAATTTTTTTAAATATTTATAAAATAATGTTAACATTATTAGACATTATTTGTAAGACCTATAAGTTTGATAATCATGAACTTCAAGTAGAACTAAAAATAATTAATAAAATGTTCAAATCTAAACAAACTAACTCAAATAATAGTGTATTTCAAAACAAATTAAATTATATGAAACAAGGTGAAATTAAAAATGGGTTTCCTTTATTATCTGAAATTTTAAAACTATTTATGACAATACCTACAAACACTGCCGCCTTATAAACGAAGTTTTTCTTGATTACGAAGGCTTAAAACTTACCTCAGAAGTCAGAACAACTGTGGGACAAGAATGGCTGTCTGATATAGCTATGTTACAACTTACAAATTGATAGAAATCGAGTTATAGATTCTGAAATTAGTGAAATTGTAATCGACGACTCGACGACTAGTTCAATGCAGCAGCAACTGTACATGGTAGACGCTTAAGTTTAATTTAATTTTGTTAATTAATATGTATTAATATTTATTATATCAATGTAATAAATTACAGTGTTGGCTAATTATTTTAGTTTATATAATAAAATGTATTTACTTCATATTAATGATAATACTAAATTGTGTATACAATTTGATCGAGGAACTGGAATTGAAAAAATGGTAAATAAATATTCAAGCGGTACCTATTTTGCAATTTCGTAGAAAGTTTGTAACTTTCCTGATTTGTTTTGCACCCCTTAAAAGTACCTACTAACTTGGTCTGCTTAGAATCTAAAAAGATATTATTTATTATGTTCTAATTATGTGAAACACGATATTGTGATAAGTAATTACAAAAGTGTATATTGTCACGGTTTTAGACTTAACTGAAAGAAATACACAACAATAATTCTGGGGGGCTAATATTCGCAGTGGGGGCTAAGCCCCTCCCCCAAGCCCCCGCTATTTAAGCCTATGCCTATTGATGCAAACCATGTGTTGAGACCATAATTATATTGATCAGTTGATATTATCTTACACTGACCTACTTCTGACATGTACAGGTGGTTTTAGATTAACCATTATTACCTATACATTATATATTTATATTAGCTCAAAAATAAGCCTATATTTATAGAAAAATATTATATTGTGTAGGTAGGAAGGTAGGTACTAAGAAATTATTGTCACAATGATAAATTGGTAATTACTAATTTTATTTGAAGATCTATGTACAGGGGCGGATTCAGGTGAGGGGCACGTGTCCCCCTGTAAATTTTCTGTCTATAATGTGTTATGGAACTACGAGTATCATATAAATGAAAAATTTAGTTAGTAAGAATAATACTATTAATTATTATTTATTATAATCATTATTGTTTAAAAATGATAGTATGTAATATGTATTATTAATAAAAATAAAAATTATACAATTTATATGTGCGGAGGGGGGCCTATGAAAATATCGAAGATCTACTATTATGATGTAAGGGTAAATCAGCCGTGAAGACTGAGTATTGAAGTAAAATAGCGAATACGAAATAGTGCTTAAACTTATCAACTTATAATGTAGGTACCTAAATTCGAAAAACACAAGTATAAAAATATGTTATATATATTATTTAAGATTTTATGGAGTTGACATAGATGAAATTGATATAGAAGTGGACTACAATTGTTCATTATATCTAGTTTAACAACAAGTGTATGACAAAACTATTGAAACTGGAGTAACTGGACCTTTAAAATGAAATGAAGTATTGAAGTCCAATGTCCATGATAGGTATTACTAGACATGGTTTCTTCGTATCCAAATGTATATATACTTTGTATAAAATATTTTATACACTTCCAGTCAGCAGTGCAACTACAGAAAGAAGTCTTAACCGTCTAAAACTTCTCAAAACATGCCTTAGTTCAACTATGACTAAATACCGGCTATCAAATTTGACTATATTGAGCATAGAAAGAAACATAGCTCAAACTATTGATTTTAATAACGTAATAAGTACATTTGCACTAATGAAAAAGCGCAGAAAATTATTGAAATGTTCTAGTTCTTTACTATTATTTTCATGTAGCAATTATTATATAAAATTTAAATTTTATAAATATATTATTTTTGACTTTTGTATTGTATTAGAATTTAGAACCACCTATGTTGTGAAAATAAATCAGTCATTGAAAACTAAAATAAAATAAATATACTGCAAATATACGTATAAAAATAAAATAATAAAATATGTACCTACCTATAATCCCTTCTAATGATTTAAATATGTCAGGTAAATTTTTTAATTGAATATAAATTTTAATGCAACAAATAAAAATAACTATTAATTAAATATAGCTTTAATAATAAAGCTTGTAAGTAAATTTTACAATTTACTTAAAAATATGTTATGATTCATGTAATATAGTTAATAGTTATATTGAATGTTGGTATCAAAATGTGATGTAAATAACTAATAAGGTAAATGGCGAGCGCATTGGGCGACGCCGACTTTGTAATACCTACATTTTCTACACAGTGGCCTCTCGTAAGTAAGGTAAACCCAAAGTTCTAAAATCCTGAGTACGCCACTGCGAGGCTGGGCCAAGAGTGTCCTTTGGTGAAGGCAAGGGGGGACATGTCCCCCCTAGATTTTCCGTGTCTATTATACATTTAATATTATTTAAACATAATTATTTTATAATTGATACATTGAATAAAGAAAATTGATTATCATAAAATTAATGAAGAATATAATATTTCATATAC